GTTTCCAACCATACCGATACGAGATGTATGAGGCGTATACACCCAGGAGCCCGTACAGGGGTGTTGTTCCGATAGAACCAAAAATACCTTTGGGACCCAAACAAGTGTTGCGACTTTCATAAGAAGTTAGGACATGCAAGGGAATACTGTGAAAGCGTCAAAAGGGAAAAGGAGAAGAATAGATCATTTAAAGTAGGAGGAGGACGTACTTTGAAGAAGGAAGAAGCATGAGTTTATGAAGCTGAGATCGCCATGATACAAGGAGGTGGAATTGATGTTAAGTCGTTCAAGAAGCAGAAAGTAGTTAACATTGAGTTTAATCATCATGATACCATACCATTTGACCACCAGGGGACTGAACCTCTTATAATCAAGGCCACGGTAGGAAGAAATTTAATATGAAGGATTTATGTGGATAACAGAAGTTTCTTCAGCATCATTTACGAGCATTATCTGAGATGCTTACCAACGAAAATCCAAAAGTATGTTAGACCTCCACTTCGGCGGTGGTGGGTTTCGTTGGCCAATCAATATGGCCGGTTGGGAAAATCTCACTACCCTTCACATTGGAAGATTACAGGGGAAGCATCCAAAAACCATCCTTGAGGAGTTCCTTATAATAAAAGCACCCTCTCCTTATAACATGTTGTTAGGAAGAATGAGTCTATGAAAATTACAGGCAGTCCCATCCACAGCTCATGGCTTGCTAAAATTTCCATCTGATGACGATGTCATAATAGTTCAAAGCACAACGCTAGGTCCATATGAGCATAGTCATGTCGTACAACCTAAATTAACCGAACCGATGTTCAAGGAAGGAAGCTCATCGGTGGACATCGAGGAGGTGGTTATCAACGAAAAGCATGAAGAACAGAAGGTCAAGGTGGTTGTTGAGTTGCCAGGATCCTTTCAAAAAAGGCTTAATAGTCTTACTAAAAAATATGTGGATAGATTCGTATGGAAACCTAAAGATATGGTCGAGTCCCCAGATCAATGATAGAACATCGACTCAACATTAATCCTAACCACGCTTCTGTCAAACAAAACAAGTGCACAATGGCAAAAGAAAGAAATGAGATAGTTAATAAGGAGGTCAAGCACCTAGTAGCAGCATGGGTCATGAGGGCTATGTAGTTTACAAAATGGATTGCCAACCAGGTAATGGTACAGAAGGGTGGTGGTACAATGCGAATGTGCGTCGATTTCACTGACCTTAGCAAGGCATGTCCAAATGACAGTTACCCTCTCCCTATAATAGAACAGAAAATCGATTCATTTGGAGGATTCAAGTGGAAATCCTTTTTAGATGTGTATAAGGTAGATCATCAGGTGAAAATTGCAGCATCAAACGAAGACAATACAAACTTCCATATGGAGAAGGGCATGTTTTGTTATACAAAGATGCCTTTTGGGTTGTGGAATGCAGGAGCAACATATCAAAGGCTGGTGGAAAAGTTGTTAGACGAACAAATAGGAAGAAACAAAGAAGTATATGTAGATGATATGGTGATGAAAAGTAAAGGCGATGACAAGTTCCTAGAAAACATAGAAGAGACTTTGATGCAGCTCCAGCGAACCAATATGAAGCTTAATCCAAAAAAGTGTGTATTAGGGGCATAGAAGGGCAGGTTCCTCAGTCACATTATAACCACATCGGGTATAGAAGCAAACCCAGAAAAGATAGAAGCCCTGTTGAAGGTAGGAACACCAAATACTGTGAGAGACATAAAAAATCTAAACGGTAAATTGGCAGCGCTAGGGAGGTTTTTAGCAAAATCAGCAGAACAAACGTTGCTTTTGTTCCAAGTGTTAAAAATACATATGGGCAAGAATTATATTACATGGTCGAGCAAAGCCGAGGAGGCTTTTCAGAAATTAAAACAACACCTCAAACACTTTCCAATTTTGGCAAGCTCGATCACAGGTGAACCGTTGATAATATACTTATCAACAAGTCAAGATGTAATCGGAGCAATGTTAATGGCAGAAATAGATAAGAAGCAGATTTATGTCTACTTCATTAGTAGAGTGATACATGAAACTAAATGAAATTACTCGATAGTGGAGAAGTTGGTCCTCTATTTAGTTTATGTGGAAAGGCGACTACACAGGTAGTTCCAATCACACCCGATCTTGGTGCTAACAAACCAACCAATGAAGCAGATCCTAATGCAACCATAATGATCATGGTGAATGACTAAATGGGAAATTGAATTAGAGGAACACGACATAAGCTATAAGCCAAGGGTTAGTATCAAGGGTCAAGCCCTTGCGGATTTCCTAACCAAAATGCCAGATGATCATATATGTCCCTCAGCATCTACCGAGGATGATCTCAGTTACTCACAAATCCCGAACCAGACTAGTACAGGAGACTGGATACTATACACAGATGGGGCATCAAGCAAATACAGTTCAGGAGTAGGGATCATCCTTGCCATCCTACAAGGAGATAAGTCAACTTATGCGTTGAGATTCGAATTTTCATGTTTAAATAATGAAGTAGAGTACGAGGCTTTGCTTGCAGGTATGCGATTAGCAAGGGGAATGAACATTTCGAGAATAAAAAGTATTTTGTGACTCAATGTTAGTTGTCAACCAGATTAAGGGGGATTACGAAGCAAAAGAAGTGCACATTCAAAAGTATATGGCACATTGAAAGAATGGATTAAGAAGTTTCAAGCGTTTGAAATCACACAGGTCCCATGATCAAAGAATAAAGAAGCATATGCCTTAATCAAGCTAGCATCAGTGGTTTTCAAACACCTCCCAAAAAAGGTATTGGTAGAAGTACTACCAAAGAAGAGCATCGAAGGGCTAGTTAATGGAAGTAGTGGAGCTATCAGAGGAAGAAGAAGCATGGATGACGTCGTACATTCTTTTTCCTAAAAAAATGGAATATTGCCAGCAGACGAAAAACAAGCTCAAAACGTACGAATCAATGCAGCACATTATACCATGTATGAAGATCGATTGTACCGGAAAGGATATTCCACCCCTAGTTAAAATGCATCACAAAAAGAGAAATGGAGCTTGTTATACGAGAAATACATTCAGGTATATGTGGCGCACACATAGGATCAAAGGAAATTACTTCAAAAATTCTCCGAACAGGATACATCTGTCCATTGATGACTAGTGATACGAACGCGTTCATACAGAAGGGTCACAATTTCCACATTTATTCAAACGTTCCGGCTCTTCCGCCAACAGAGTTAACAAGCATCACTAGTCCATGTCCTTTTTCCAATGGGGAATAGATATTGTAGGACCTATTACCGAGTCACCGGGAAGGTTGAAATTCCTGATAGTAGCCGTAGACTATTTCACTAAATTGGTCAAGGCAGAGGCAGAGGCAGTAATCTCATAGAAGAATGTGGCAAAATTTGTCTGGAGGCAAATTGTTTGTCGCTTCGGCCTCCCACACACTATTATCAGTTACAACACCAAGCACTTTGCAGAAAGCCTTTCAAGAAATGGTGCCAAGAGAATGGGATTAAGCAAAATTTCACTTTGGTAGCACATACCCAGGAAAATGGGAAAGTGGAAGTCACTAATCGAACTCTAGTGAAAGGAATCAAGAAAAAGATTGGGGAAAGCTAAAGTAAACTGGGCTGATGAGTTACAGAGTGTGTTATGGGCGTATAGGACAACAATACAAATGTCGACAAAGGAATGCCATTCAATCTTGTGTATGGGACAAAAACATTCATCCTAATAGAGCTAACTATATGAAGCACACGAACTTCGAAGCCCCAGGAAGGCTCGAACAATGCAAATTTACGAGCAAACATGCACCTCTTAGAAGAAAAGCGAGACAATACAGCCATATGCCATACGACCTTTAAAGCAATGATAGAAAGATACTACAATGCTAGAGTCAAAGGAACGACATGCAGAGTAGGAGATTTAGTCGTACGAAAGAACAAAGCTAGCCGATAGGAACACATTGGAAAATTAAACCCGAACTGGGAGGGTCCATATCGAGTAATCGAAGTTAGACAAAATGATTCATATGTCCTGGAAAAAATGGATGGAGTCCGACTACCGAGAATATGGAATATACGCAAATTGCATAACTTCCGTTTCTAGGATAGCAATCAAGAACCTACTTATGATGGATCAGAAAACACGTTAACAACATTAGATGATAGTTATTTATTTACACAATCTGATTATCGTCTTGAATGCAATATTTTGGTTTTCTGATCGATGGACTACGCATTTTACTACACCGAACCATAAGTTTTAATAGCTTTTGATTTGGAAATTTTAAAAAACCACCATGATTCACCAAATCATGGTTCGGTTTATAACTATTTCAAACCATGAATCTCGATAGTTCATGGTTCGACATTTTTTATTTGAAAATCATCACGGACAGCCAAATCACAGTTTTACTTTGCTATTAGAACCCAAGACCAATCAAACTATCACAATTTGATAAATGTGATACCTCGAGTTGATAACTTCTAATGATTATATAACTCCGAGTCGATCAAATTCATTCAACATAAAAAGATAAGACTAATCAAACCAATGCCTGGTATTAATTAGGACATTCAATATTCAAGATAAAATAGTTTACAACTACAATACAGTTTAAACAACAATGCACAAAGGGATCTTGGGAAAGAAGGCTAAATCCAACATATAAAAATTACAAAGACATATATAAGAAAATAAGACAAACATCATTCAAAATCCTTAGATCACACACGTCGGGTAGAAGTCCAACAAAAAGAAAACTTGCAAAATCCCAAAAGCTACATATGTCATTAAAAAGCACACACCCAATCAAGCACTGTCGTTGCTTGTGTCATCCTGCTTGAGTAATGGATTAAAAACCCCCAACTTTTCCTTCATCACATCGATATCCACCTTATCCCCTTTAAAAAGCTCAAATAACGCGCACTTGTAAGTAATCATATCAGAAAAGCAATCTAAGATACAACGTTGAACGTCGAGGTAGGAGTAAATATCATTTTCCCAACCAAAGCCTAAGGGTATCTCGCTTTCATCTCGATACAAGCATGATGCAACCCCAATTGAATGGCTACAGTTTGAAGAGCAGCATTGACATCACCAAAGCCACCTGAATTCAACACAAAGTGGACAAATGAAGGGATGCCCTCCTTCATCATCGATTGCAATTCTGAAGAAGTTTGATCAGTGACTTCTTGATGATGAAACAAGTCTTATTTCGCCGAAGCTAGTAACTCAACCAAAGATACAATTTGTCTATCTTTCTCAGAAGTAAGATCCTTGAGGGTAGAAAGCTCTTCTTCAAGCAATTTGATGCATACATATTTTCCAAAAAATAAATCTCTAGTTGGGATACCTTCTCGGTGTATTGCAGATTCAACGATTCAAATTGTTGTGATCCCTCCTCCAATTCTTTGATCAATTTCAAGCGGCGTCCAGTTGCATCACCAGCCTTAATCAGGAGATCTTTGTTTAATTTTTTCAATTCCTCTTGGCACCGCAGAGTCTCGCTCAAATCATCAACCAAACGCCTGTTTCTCTCTGATAATCCAGACACCTCCTCACTGAGATTCTTTGCCTCTCCTTCCATTTTCTCATGGCTAATACGTAGCCCTTTCAACGCTTCAAAATGCTTCTTCAAACTTCGATTGTTGTCCAACAAGAATATTAGCCCGCTGCCGAGTGTGGCAGGAAACCTCGTTCAACGGGTGGATTCCCACCATCAAACAAGAGCGGGCCCTATCAATGCTTTCTTCGTCGGAAGAATTCGCAAGCTCATGGCCTTTTGGGATAGAGGTAATAGCAAAAGGACATTGAAACTGAGGAAGTGATGCAATAAAAGTAACAAAGTATAAAGGATAACCTCCTTGCTAGAGGAAGGAATGACTTAAACAATGAAGGAGTTAGTCTTTTGCGGAATAGAATACATGTACATACGAAAATATATAATATATACATATATATGGGACAAAATACATACAAGTTTGCTCTAAAATCTTCTATGACATATCTAGAGTTAGCTCAGAGGGAGTATCATCCCCAAATAGTCTGGAAGTATCAAGAATTTTTATACGGGTAATGCTTGAACCAGCAGGAACACTTGAGCCAAGAGGAAGAGGATCCACTATTACAACAGTAGATTTAGTATTGGCTGGCTAAAATTGACCAAACCCGAAACCGAAGATTTTCTACTCAAAGACAGCAACAACAGATAAAACAAAAGAAGACTAACCTGTCGACAACGGTTGCAGGGTTTCGAGAGGAGTTTGAACCTTGGTAGAATAAAGAGGAAGGGCCTCAGAACGTGATATTTCCACATTGGATAAAGGAAGATTTTCCTCAGCATGCTTTAGTTCGAGATCGGTAGGCACCGATCACTCATGAAGAATAACTTTTGTAGAAGGCTCTGAAGGAGAGTTTGGATTCACATACTCAAAAGGAGTTTGGGTGCTCAAACCCACCTGGCCACGACCTTTTGTATCACTACCGCGAGTGGATATTTTTTTTGGGGGTGATAAGTTGATTACTTGGTCAAGGTGACTCATCACTCCCTCCAAAGAAAGAATCTTCTCTACCCTAACTTTCCTTTTAGAACACAAACACCTCAAGTCAACCCTAGTAGAAGAAGTCATAGGTTTGCTATTGTCAGGCTCAGTTTGCATAATTTTTTTAGGAAAGGGTGCCACAGATGCAGTGGTTTCCAGGACAGAAGGATTCATGGTAGAATCCATACTAGATTCCGACCAGGAGAGAGAATTAGGCAAAGTCGATTCTTTCATAATCAAAGTAGAACTCACCAGACGTTTCATATGCAACCGCTCCAACAGAGTGACTTCTCGCCCCGCTAGGGTTTCCATTGGCTTTTTCCTTAATTTTTTTTCCAATGAGATCTTATCCCTACCATACCTAACATCAACTATTCAGGATCCACCCACTTGACAAAGTTTTATGATAAACAATCAACAACACCCTATTCTTCGGGAGACAAATCAGGTGATGGGTCGGAAACTATATCAACGGTAACACCATACACCATAGGCCCAGAGAAAGTGGTGGCATAGATAAAGAAAAACTCTTCTTTCTAGTACTTTATAGAAGTAGGAAACCGTCATAAATATCCAACATAACATGGCAGACGGAGTAAGACACCCAATCACCATTAGACATGGTAACATAGAAATAGTAGAATATGGTGATGGAAGGCGGGATATCTAGAGTAGAACACAACATCACGAAACAAACGATTTTCTGAAAACCATTATGGCTAATTTGAGAAATGTGTAGATGGTAGGAATCTAGGACTGTCTTCAGGAAATCAAATGTCAGTAACCGCAACCCTGATTTGAAGAAAATTCGATATACACCGACAAATCCATCTGGAGCATTAACAATGGTATCCCCAGGCTCCGACAAACATGGATGAAATTGGGGATCATTGTGGTATTTCTTCATAATAGTCGACAGGCTTTTGGGATTAAGTTTGGATTTCATATTTTGAATGCTGGAAATTTCTTTGCTAGCTATAAAGGAGCGAGATGAAGAAACAAGAACGAAGAACAGTAGGAAAATAATCAAAGGTGATAAAGAAAGGAAACAAATAAGAGGGGTATTTATAGGGATCAGATAAAGCCACACTTATGGAGCAGAAAAAACGACGGTTATACACTGTGGATCCCTTAAATGGAAAATAACTGAAGGGACGGTAATAGGTAATGATGAACACTAGGATCCGCCTAACCATCACGTCAAGATTTAATTCAAGTGTTTGTCTTTATCCAATTACAAAGGTTATATTGCAAGGCTTTAAAGTTTAAATTATTACTTCTAAAAGAATGTAACAATCCAAATTAGGAGGCTTAATAGGGTATAGGGATCGAAGCTGCACTTATACCCTCGGTAGCCCAAACCAGGATTGTATGCCGAATCAATTTTATATCCGAACCTGGAACATACATCAACCTAAGAGTATGTATTGTTCCAGGTATAAGTACTAAACCATAAAGGACAATTACTAAACTACGATATGTCATCACAACAGTATTAGAATACATTGGAACTCAAAATAATTGACATGTATTATGGTGGTGATTGAATAGATCCTTTTACTTACGAAGAATAGTTGTCTAACGGCTACCAAGTACATAAACATGTACCTTCTAGCATATTTCCATTAATGCGACAGGATGGTAAACCTTCTCGGTACATGAAGAAGTCACCACCTCTTCATGTCGACTATACATACGTAACTTAAACCACCACACAAGGTACAAAAAAAACATATACGCACTTAAACACATCGGATACGATATTACATAGATCTTCTTTAGATCCTCTCTGGCTTTATCATCGAAGAGTTGGCTCGGGATCTCCTCCTGATCATCGAATTACGAGTTGTTTGTGTTTCCAGGTCAATTGATTATTGGGTAATCTTATCTACAAGGTAATCAATGGAAGACGGAACCCGAGGTGCGTCAAAAACAAAACAATTTAAGCACTTCAGACAAATATCAAACAAACTTCGGTAAAAGTAATGGAAATAAAACTTTTGAAAAACATAAATCAGAAGAACACAATATCTAAAGTGGTTTGGTCAAGGTGACCTACATCCACGGGAGAGAGAGAGAGAGAGAGAGAGAGAGAGAGAGAGAGAGAGGACTTTATTAAACTTCCAACAATAATTCTAATTAGACACATAGGTTACACCTCACTTTAGCTCTCAAAACAAAAGAATCACTCTTGCTTAATAACTGATCAAAAGGATGTGCACTCAACCTCACAATGATTTCTTTCTTGAAATTTTTGTGTCACGCACTTGCAAGGAATAATGAATGGGGGTACAAAACTATTTATAGGCAATCATGGGAAACCATAATCCTGATAAGCCAGGCCCATTTATAATTAGCCCATAAAGGGGAAGCCCTAATTTCCAACCAATCATGGAATGCCATATAGACGATTTTAGAACCTTCATCCTTCATAGACATTGGATTGGCACCATCAATACACCATTGGCACATCAGGTGTCATTAAATGAAACCCCTTGTCCTTTAGTGGCACATCCTGTCACTTGGTGTCATCTCATGTGCATGACACTTCATCGATGTGCCATGATGGCACATCAAGGGGTGTCGTGGCACATCAGGAACACTTGTAGCACACCAAGAACATATGTGGCATATCATGATGCTTACGTGACACATCATGATCATTAGTGGGACATTGATACTTCAGCAACATATTAGTAGAACATCAATACTCCAGAGTACACCATGTCACACTAGAGTGGCGCATGTTCCTCTATGTTGGTGCATCCTCTTTCAAGATGGCACATCTTGAATCCAAAGTGGCACACGCTCTTCCTAAATGGCACATCCAACATTCTAAGATGCTCTATACCTTTCCCAGGTGCTCCATACCCTCTTTTAGATTGTATATTCCTTTGCCACGTGGTCTGTTCTTTGTCAAATGAACTATTCCTTTCTCAGATGATCTGTTCCTTTGTCACATGATCCATTGAACTCCAAATGCTCCATTGAGTTCCAAGTGCTCCAAATGTTGGAAAAGAATTCATACCCCAACAATATCCCACTTAAAGGCTTGAACAACTTCAACTACCATTCAAATTCTCCATCATTCGTCAAAGTATTCCTTCTCTCTATCTCCTGCCAAACCCTTCTCTTCAAACTCTTGGAAGGCCAGTTGAATCCATGCAAAGCTTCAAATTCTCAGTGGTAACCACATTAGTATCTTTATTTGTTGAGTTCATCATACTAAGGACTTTCTTCAGCTTAGTAGCCCCTTGGTTCATTACATTGAACTCTCTGGTAAGCGGTATCTTAAGCTCATTGATCTTCTATATGTTGGAACCAACAATCAACACGGCATCAACAGTTAACACGATGATGATACATGAGGAGCTTAACTTCTTTAGCTAACAACCGTGATCAACGTCACATCTTATGAACTCGTTCCTCTTCATGAAGTTATCAAACTTTAAGTACCACCGCTTAGAACATTTCTTCATGCCATACATGTTTTCCTTTTTCTTGAACACCATATTTTTCTTACCATCTGTAAGATCACTTTCTGGTTGTGCCTTCTAGTTGTCTCCTTCCAAGTTAATATCAAGAAGATCAGTTATATTCACATCTAGCTTCTCTAGATGGAGATTTTTAGAGGCCACTACATTCAATATGGAGGTGATTATAGTCATCTTTTCAACTGGAGAATCGTCCTCCACCAATCTTCCCTTTTAATTTTTTCCACCATCTATCTCATCCGTAACCTGAAACATCTGGCTGTTCTAAATTCCGCTCAACTCATCATCCATAGCCTTCTCCCACTGTATGGAGTTCATCCTCAAGGCCTGTGGTTTTGACCTATTCTCGCATATCAAAAAGTTAATGGTTGATGGAGAATACCTCACTAGAGTACTTTTCTTAATGGTCCTCTAGATAATAGGAGGTTTGATTGTTGAAACACCTACATCTCCACCCTCATAATTATTATCACAACAGATCCCACTGTTTCTAGATTTATCAGAGCTCCCATTGCTTCCTGAAAATCTACCTATCCTTTGACCAGTGATAGGTCGTGCATGATTTTGGGATCCTCCTACTAAAGAAATTATAGTGCGACTGTAAATACCAGAATAAACTAAAACAAACTTCCCAAACTTAGGAGGATTGCTTATCTTCGTAAAACTGACTTTCTTCTGACTACCAATAGAGCATGGCTTAGAGGCATTTGTCATAATTTCTGGATCTGGAATTCTCCCTTTGGATACAAGCTTTCTCATTGGTTCCTCACTCATATGAACAAATCTTTGGTGACATATACTGGATGTCCCAACTCCTTCAACAACTCTTACTTCAAACCCCCCTTAGAAACGATCAAGCTTCCCTTCTTCACTTTTCACTTGTGAGTAACAAATGTAACATGATGACATTCATTATCAAGTTTCCCAACTGATGTCGGCATCCTCTTTAGATCTGGAATGAACGTGAAGTTTTTCAAAGTCCAATCCATACCTAGAGTCATCTTGAGAACCACATTTCCGACACCCATGATATCCAGACACTTGTTATCTGCCAGTCTTACCTTCCCTTGGTAATGCCTAAAGTTATGCATCACATATCTGGAATAAATAGTGTAGAATGACGCACCATAATCCAATACCCAAGATTCTATTCTGTTTTCAATTGAACAAGTGAGCGTGTCACCTTCAAAATCTTCTTCCATATTCATCTCCTTTAGGCCTTTATACGCCATGAGCATTGGGCACTAACTTTTGACATGGCCACTCACTTTGTTGTTCCAATAGGTCATGTCTCTCCTATTTTTCTGTCCACCTCTCCTTCTTGATTTCGATCTGCCACTACCCCCACACCCTCTGCTGGAATCCCTTCCTTTGTCTTCAATACTCAGAAGAGTATTGGAATCTTCTTCAGAACTTCGTCTGTGTATAACCTCACCAAGGATTAAATCACAAATGCCTTCAAATATCATCTTAGCACCCCCAGCTGAGCTGCTAACCGTTATCATTGTACCGAACCAACTATCATGAAATGATGATAATAGTAGCAATGTCATGACTTCATCTTCAAATTGAATATCAACCGACATCAGTCTTGATAGGATTGAATTAAATTCATAAACATGATCAGTCACTGAGTCACCCTTCCTTATACCAATTATCGAATCAAGTGAACCTTATTTGTTGTTGAAGGTTTTTCATACATGTTATAGCTCTTTGATCAACCCATGAGTAGTATTCACATTGATAATGTTGTAAACTACACTCTTGTTGGATCTATATGCTCAAGAATCATTATTGCATGATACTGCTAATAACATATGATACTATAGGGTCATACCTTTATCAAGTTGGCACATTTTGAATATTTATTATTAAGAATTAATAAACTCTTGTATTTAAGTATGGAATAATTATGGTTATTATGAAAATAATAATTAAAGAGAGTATAACTAGTTATTATATCATGTATAATGTTTTAATAAGTCATGTACAAAGCTTTAGACACTTTGGTTAACTTTTAGACTTACTAGTTAGTTACCTTTATTTAGTTAAAGAAAAAAGAAAATGATTTTGTCTCTTCTCTTACACCATGGCCGAAAATGTAGGAGGTGTGGGAAGTTGCTTGTCAACCTCCCTCCCATGATCCCCATGCTTACTTTACTAGGTAATAGTTTATAGTATTTTATGGATTAGATTTTGACCATGCATGGGGATATATAAAGGAGTGTAGAGGCTTGCAAAGTGGCTAGTTTTTCCAATGCATTTCTTCTCTTTTTCTCTCTTCATGGCCACGAGCATGAAGCGCTTCCTCCTCCTCTCTCATGCAATCTTGTTGCTTGTTTTTGGAGCTCTTAGTTGCTTCTCCTTTGAAGGTATATTTGTTATATACATCTAAGGATTAAGAAAAACTAAAATACAAGATGGGAACTATCATTCCAAGTGTCTTACTCTT